TTATCTCCCATCATGGGGAGTACATGTATCTCACCAAGGCCTCCAACCCACTAACCACTTCTTACCCATTTTGGTCCAATTAGCATGATGTCATCAACATAGTGGACTAGTATTATATTCAGATGGTCCAGCTATCTCCAGACTATAATATGACAGAGGACAGGAGAGTTGTAGACCTTTGAGGAAAAACTATAAATGTATACTCTTGTCCTATATGAACATGAACTTTTTCTGATATTTTATTCTGATAGGGATATAAAACTACATGTTCCAAAGCAATAGCTAATTATTAGGTATCTAAGGTCATGTTATTCTGCTTTAGCAAAGATATTACATCTAACACGGTGGCTGCATTTGTATCACTACTTGGTTGAGTTTGCAATGGTCTGTCATGTACCAGGCTCTGCCCACATTGTGCAGGGGCCCAAACTGGTGTATTAAATGTAGATATGATAGGGGCCACATCCCAGCGATCTTTAGGTCTTCAAAGGTGGCACTAACTTCTGCCGTCCTCCCCAAGACGCTATATGTTTTCATTCATTATCTTGGCCAAGGAAGGTGAGGGCAGTCTCAGAAACTTCTGCTTTTCATCTACAAATAGCTCTGACTCCACAAGTCAAGAAACCAATATGGGGTTTGTACCAACTACCGAAACGTCTATTCCAATTATACATTCAGAGACCAAGAATATAGCCATCAGGTAGGCTTGTGGACCCAGTGGAGCCACTCTGAACCCAACACAGGCCAGGAGTCCATTTAATACCAGGCTCCCATCTGCCCTTATTCTAAGAAGGGGGACATGATGACATTTTAGGTCTCTGGGTATATCAACTCATGACCAGTGTCCATTGGGCCTCAAAATGTTTGGGTATTCCTCTTTCCCCTGCATACAGTTACATGCATAAATAGAAGGACTAGACAAATCATTACTACACATATGTTATAGGGTTCTTCTTCCTGGGCACCCCAGCCTCTCCTTCAGCCTCTCCTTCAAACAGTGCGCCCTGGTTCAAAAACTGACTTAGGATCAGAAGCTGAGCAAGGAATTGTGACTTTTTATGGAGGCACCGTCCTTCAGACTCCTGACCATCTTTGATTTCTTTTGGTTGTTCACGTTGAGTACAGATTGTTGGCTGCTTATTTTCCCCAGGGCACTGTGTTATATTGACCATATATTATATATTGTTATATATAATCTACTAACTACCTCTTAACCATCCCCACAGCTCTCTGCAGATCAGGCCCCCCGCCTCTCACCCTTACCCTGCAGTGCATTATGATATTCGCATCCACCCGACTTCTGACGGTTATGTGCAGTCATCCTGCCTCTCTTGTTTCAGGACATCACCGTTCCTATCAGTGATCCTCATCCTCTAACATCCTCTCCTACTCTGAGCCCTGGCCTGCAGAGGCAAGCCACCACGGAACTTCTTAGCAACGCTGCCATTCCTCTCACCAGTGCATTCCTTGTAGCTTGAGCGAACAGTGTGCCTTTTGGGTCCTCCTGCAGAACCTAGTCCTCCAGAGGGTTTTCTGGACATACATAATATATTTATTCTATCATTCCCACTTCCCTGAGCCTTTTGTCCTTTTTCCCCAGTCTGCTATGACAACTTTGGCATTTATACTTCACTTAATTCTTCCCCCCCCCACCCCCCACACTCTGAGAAGCCATTCTAGTATTGAGTTCACTTGATCTCCTGGGGTCTTTCCCGGGGGGAGGGGTTAAATACTGTATTTTGGGAGAGAACTCTCAAAACAATTAATTTTCCCTATTCAATTTTATATTCCAGCTCCCCTGATCAAGGCCCTCAGAATTCAGTCCCGTGCTCCCCCCTCAGCACCTGCTAGTACATGCTGGCTAGGTCCTATAGCTTCTTCTTGGGGTAGTCCCTTTCCTTCCTACTTAGGCCCAGCATATCCCCAGTGAAGCTATTCTGTGACTTAACTTTATATATAGGCCCAGTGGCCAAGATGGGAAGTGGGGCAGATTCTGAGGGAAATGCATATTATCTTACAGGAGAAAGGGCTCTGCAGATCAAGCAAGGTGAAGCACTAGCCCTTAATAGGAAGGAGTGGGACCTTTCTGAATGCTCAAGGTGTCCAGGAAAATCTGAAGATACAAGATTTTTAGGGATGTCAATCCAGAAGCCCCCATCCCATGTGCCAGGGTTCCATGCCTTCCTAACCAGGGCTCTGATCTTGGCATAGCAGACTTGTCTTGGTTGGGATTTTAACTTCCTTTGAAGCTTGCTTTCAGTAAGTCCTGGGCCTGGTCCTCAGATTTCTCTACCCTCTACCTGGAAAAGAGGAGGGCCTCTTTATATGCTACGAATGATACCCTCTGGCTTTCACATACAGCACTTAGTTGTTGAATAATTTAAGTTGGCTTCTCATTATTTTTTTTCCTAGAAGTCAACCAAGCATAGAAATAGCTACCCAATTTTCTGGCCTTCCTTATATTGAATATTTCCCACCTATTTCTCAAAATTCTGCTACATAGAACCAGCTAATGCTTTCCCTTCCAGCAGTGCCATCCCAGTTTGCCATCAGTGAAAGCTCTAACACTTCTTCTGTCACCTGTCCCAGGTGCTTATCTACTCCACCTACCATCAGTGACGGGGTCCTCATTGCCAGCTGGGCAGAAGGTGATTCATCTCCAAAATTTCATCACAGTGTATGCTTTCCTGAACTACTCCTCATACCAACTGTTGTAGGTTGGCTTCCTGGAGAGCAGACTCAGAGTTCAGCATGAGGGCTTTTATTAGGGAATGCTCTTGAGATCAAAATCTGTGGAAGGGAAGAGAAGGAAGCAGGATTGGACAGAGGGAGAAGTTAAGTTGTCCCTTTTGGGGCAAGAAGGGCCATGTCAATCAGCCATCAGATGGAAGTACCCCCAGGAAGAGGGTATGACCTTGGGGGAGGTGACTTTCCAGTTAAAGCAGTTCCTGAAAAGGGATGACAGCTGAGGGCTGTCTGTTGGCAGCACTCCTAGCAAGTAAATTAACCTCTTTATTCCTGAAGGAGGATTAGGGCAGCAGATTGCAGAATCTACCACAAGTATGACATCATTTTTTTCCACTAGAAATTTAGTGGCCATTGAATAATAGAATTGACAACAGTTTTACTTTTAAAACGGTGAATAAGATTTAAATTTTCAAACATTTACACGTACATTTACAGCTTTATTTAAATATTTATTTATTAAAATTTTAATTTATACCTTCCAATATCTAGACATCAATATGTGAGCCTCTATTTATACTTTTGCTCTGGTTCCCTGAAATGCTACTGACCGGTCTGCTTAGCCCAAGCCCATCCATTTCCTCTTGGTAAATTATGCAAAAATTCTTGTTGTGTATTATATAAAAATCAGAAAATACAGATGAGTAAAAAGCAGGTAAAATTACCCATTAACCTAACACCTATAGGACTCTATAGGTGTTAGGTTAATGCTTAGCCCAAGCCCATCCATTTCCTCTTGGTAAATTATGCAAAAATTCTTGTTGTGTATTATATAAAAATCAGAAAATACAGATGAGTAAAAAACAGGTAAAATTACCCATTAACCTAACACCTATAGGACTCTATTAACCTCAGAGTATACGCCAAAGCTTATACATGAGATAATTTAAATATATACTTTTTCTTTATAAAAAGTATAGCATGTGCTCTTATAGCCTATTTTCCCCATTTAAGATTGTATGCTGAATTTTATCCAAGTAAATAAGTGTAGATGCCCATCACCATTTTCAATTGCTGCAAGAGGTTTCATTGCGTAGACACACCCTAATTTTTCAGCCAAGTACCTATTTTGAGACCCTTGGGTCATTCACATGTTTCCACTCTTCAAAACAGTATGAAGATGCACAGCTTTGTACAAGCCAACTATCTGATCATTTTCTATAGATAATTTCTACAAGTAGAATTACTGGCTCAAAGAGCATGCACATCTTTAAGGCTTCTGAAACATGTATCCAAATGGACCTTGTACCAATGTATGCTCCTACCAGCCCAGTTTGAGAGCGCCCCTTCCACCATACCCTCACCACACTCTAGGGTGGGAGAGAGGTGGGTCTTCTACAGTATTGATGCCAACACCACTCTCAATGGTTCCATAAAGCCCTGCCTTGATCAGCCTTCTAAAAGAAATCTGATAGAAGCACTAAACGTTGTTCTTTCTTCTATTATACTTTCTTATTATTTCAAAATAATAACCTAATGTATTTACTTACATAGACCCCAGAGTTGGCCCAGAAAGAGAACGTTTTCGAATTAAATGCCACCAGGACCCTAAAATAAAATTGTACCTCTCTGTATGCCCTCAAGATATGTTCTATCACTTCTTTGTTCAAACAGTCTCTCACTTCCTTCTTCCCTTTGCCATTCTCGTGGCCAGTAGTGAAGTCTCACGCTTTTATCATCTCGTGCCTGGACCATGACAGTGACTTCCTAACTGGTGTTCCAATCTCCACTGACCACTCCTGTCCCCACCCCAACTCTGACACATCCTGCACACACATCAGCTACATCCTTTTCCTTTCATTTTCATTCCTCTGGTCACAGAAGGCTTTGGGGTCTCCCAGGGGTGGATGGAGTAACATTCAGACACCTCAGTTTAGCAATCAGGGATCCTGCATGAAAGGGCTCACCCAGACTGATGGATTACATTTCCCATCATTCCCCTCCCACACTTGGAACTCCAGGCAGGCCAGCCTCCTCTCTGAAGCAGGATTCCCACCTCCATGCCTTTCTTCCCACCACTCCTCCCTTCTCCAATGCTCTCCCGCCCCATTTTTATCCTATCCTTCAAGCCCTGCTTACCTAAGTGTCCCCCTCCTCTGTACAGCTTTGCCTGAGCACTGCTGCCTGAAGAAGTTTCTGCACTGATGAGAAGGGTTTGGCCATGATCAGAGGCTTGTGGCTTTGTTAGCGTATTTTTGTTTCCATACATCTTGCCTTTCCAAATAGATCATAAACTCAAAGACAAGGATGTGTCTCTTTTTTTCTGCTTAAAACACACAACTTTATTGATAACATAAAAATAAAGTCTCAAATATATAAACATAAGTCCACACAAAGGACCAAAAATTACCTTACTTAGGAAGAATCAGGTCGTTTCTGCTCATGAAGCATACTAAAAATATCTCAATCCAGACAAGGTAATAATCAACACATGTATTTTCAGTACATTTGGTGTTCATAAAGTGATCCAGCTACAGACCATTACAAGTAACATCAGTTTCAAAGTTGTAATGCAATTTACAATATGCATTACTTCCAGACTACAAAACCAAAATATTACTCAGATTTGTTTGGGAACATACAACTAATCAGAGCTTACTTAATAATAGCTCAACTCTTTCTTTCACCTCAGGGTCACTGTACTCTGCTGCTAAGACTCGGAGTTTCTTGGCACATGCTTTAGGCCGTTGGAATATGAAATAAAGAGAATTTTTACTGAACTTGTCCTGCGTAAATACTTTTGCCCTTCTTTTAAAATGATAATTTATATTTTCAAATAGTGAAAGAGCATTAAGAATATTCTCTTTCGTCTCTTTCTTGCTAAAGATATTAATCAGTGACGTTGGTGCATTGGCAATGAGTAAGTCTTTTGTCATAGATGGATTTTTAGAGAAATTCAAAAGCATTCCCAAAATATGGTCTTTCGTTTCTCCACTTCCCACAGTTAACAAACGAAGAAATTCTGAAATATAATTTGTAACCATATGCTGATATTCACTAATAATAGTCAAGTGCTTTATCAGTCTTAGTCCAGCCAGCTGTACATTTGAATTCAAAGGATAGGTGACCGTGTCTTCACATACTTGGTTTAAGTATGTTTTCACCTTCCTATGATTTTCAGCAGCCACTGAGATGTTATTCAGTGCATTTAAAGCCTTCTGCCTTACACTGGGATAGGGATTATTGAGCAAACTTTCAATAATCGAGATTCTACCTGCATTTCGAATGACTTCATGGGAAAAGGGATATTCGGGACTGTTATAAAGAGCATTATTGGCTATTTCATGAATAGAAGGATCTTCAGTCATCTCAATCATGCAAATGAGTTTTTCAAGCTCTCGTGGATCCATATTAGCTTCGCGTTTACAGCGACAGGTCCAGGGCTGAGTTTTCTCCTCATCCCTGATCTGCTTTCTTAGGTCATCTTCAGGTGGGAAGCAGGACTTATTTTGGTATGGAAATTTCATTTCCGTCCAGATCATGGCTCCTGCCCATGACCCCATTCCTGCCCCAGGGACCATGGATGGATATGTGCCTCTTGACTCAGCTGACTTTTTGGCTTTAGTCTTAGGTGCAGATTTGTCCTCACTTCTGTTTTCATTACCATCCCAGAACCAAGACTTTTCCTCAACTCCACCAGCAGTTGGTGCCTCAAAGTTATCCTTGGTGCTGGCCTTATCTCCAGCTCCACACTCAAAATTGACATTTCGCTCCCTCTCGGATCTGAACTCATGACTCTTCTCACTGTCAGCCCAAAACAAGGACCTTAAACTGATCTCCTCAATATCAGGGCTGGATGCTCTACTTAGCTCATCCTCATCCACATCCTCAGCCCAAGTCCATGACCCCACGCAAGCCTCTTCCTCAGCCCCAAGCCTAGACCCTATAGTGGCTGCATCTCCATCCCAGAGCCAAGACTCCTTCCTGACCTCTGCCGCAGCCCCAGCCTCAGCCCCCATACAGGAATCCATACAGGCTGCCTCTTCAGATCTGATCCAGGACCCAATATTGGCCTTATCCTCAGCCCCAAATCTGGAACTAATGATGGCTTCTTCTTTAGCCCTTGATCTGGATTCAATACTGGCCTCGTTTTTACCTCCAGGTTTGGATACAATACCAGCCTCTTCCCCTCTCCTGAAGCAGGACCCGGTACTAGTCTCACCCCCAGGCCCAAACCAGGATCTTTCACTGGCCTCCATCTCGGCACTGATCTGGGGTCTTCCACTGGCCTGGTCACCAGCCGTAGCCCAGGGCCCTCCACTTGCCTGGTCCTTGGGCCCCAGCCTACACCCTCTACTGGCTTCATTACCAGGCCTAGACCCAGCCCAAGATTTTCCACTAGCCTGATCCCCAGTGCCAGGCTGGGAGCCTTCTCTACCTGCTGGGTCCTCAAATCCAGGTTTGGAACCACTATCAGCCTGATCCCCAGCCCCAGCCCAGGACCTTCCACTGGCCTGACTCCCAGTGTCAGTCCAGGACCCACCACTGGACTGGTTTGCAGGCCCTGGATTAGACCCTCCAACAGCCTGGTCCTCAGCACCAGAACAGAACCCTCCTCCATTGGCTTGATCCTCAAATCCAGGTTTGGGACAGCTACTAGCCTGATCTCCAGTCCCAGCCCAAGACCTTCCACTGACCTGACTTCCAGTATCAGCCCAGGACCCACCACTGGATGGGATCGTGGGCCCTAGTCTAGATCCTCCAATAGCCTGGCCACCAGCCCCACCCCAGGACCCACTTGCATTAGCCTGACTCCCACTGTAAGCACAGAACCATCCTTTGGACTGATCCTCAGGCCCGGGCCTACATTCTTCACTGGCCTGGTCCCCAGTGCCAGCCCAGGAATCTCCAATGGACTGGTCCCTGGGACCCAGCCTAGACCCTCCACCAGCCTGGCCCCCATTGTCAGCCCAAGACCCTCTTCCACTTGCCTGCTCTTCAGATCTAGGCTTTGTCTCACCACCAGCCTGATCCCCAGGTACAGCCCAGGTCCCTCCATTGGCCTGGTCCGCAGCCCCAACCAAGAACCCTCCACTGGCTTGGTCCCCAGAGTCAGCCCAGGACCTTCCACTGGACTGGTCCTCAGGCCCCAGCCTAGGCCCTCCACCAGCCTGGCCACCAACCCTAGCCAAAGACACTTCTACGTTTGCCAGATCCTCAAATCTAGGCTTGGACTCACCACCAGACTGATCACCAGTCCCAGCCCAGGACCCCCCACTGGCCTGGTCCATAGTCCCAACCAAGAATCCTCCACTGGCCTGATTCCCAGTGCTAGCCCAGGACCCAACACTGGACTGGTCCACAAACCCTGGCCTAGGACCTTTGTTGGCCTGTTCCCCAGCCCTAGCCCAGGACTCACCACCAGACTGGTCCACAGGCCTCAGCCTGGACCCTCCACTGGCTTGGTTGGCTGTGTCAGCCCAGGACATATCTTCACTGGCCTGATCCTCAAATCTAGGCTTGGATCCACCAGACAGGTCACCAGTCCCAACCCAGTACCCTCCACTAGCCTGGTCCATATCCCCAGGCCAGTGCCCAATACTAGCCACATTCCCAGCTCTAGCTTCAGCCCAGGACCCTCCATTAGCCTGAATCCCAGCGCCATCCTGGGACCTTCCACTGTCCTGTTCCTCAGCTCCCATCCAGGACCCTCCAATGGCATCTTCCCCAGCCCAGGACACCCCACTGGCCTGACCTCCAGCCCAGGGCTCCCCAATAGCCTGGTTCCCGGTGCTAGCCCAAGACACCCCACTGGCCTGATTCTCAGCCCCAATCCAGGATGCTCCAATGGCCATGTCCCTGGCCTCTGACAAAGAACCCCCACTGGCCTGACTCTCAACCCAGAGCCCCCCACAGGCCTGGTCCCCAGCTGTAGCCCAGGATGGAAAACCAACTTCATTCTCACCCTTAGCCCCAGCCCAGGACCTAATATCAGACTTATCACTAGCCCCACTCCAGGACTCAATACTGGCTTCATTCTCATCATCAGCCCAGGACATGCTATTCTCCCAGTATCCATCCCTGGCCTGAAACCTAAATTTGATCCATCGCTCAGAAGCAATCCAATCCTCAATACCAATCCCATTCCAGTAGTAGTCATGGACTCTAGACCGAGTCTTTCTGCAGGCCTGAGTGCCTGTCCCACCCCCACTCTCAACAGTGGGTGTGGCCTCAGCCTTGGGCTTTGCATAGCCCTCATCTGCCTCAGACTTGGGTATAGCCCTGTCCTTTGTCCCAGGCAAGATCTTACTCTGGGAATGGGCTGCAGACTGAGGCTGGCCAGAGCCCATCATATGTGCCCCAGCCTCTACCTTAGACTCAGCACTGGTATTTCCCCTGACCTTACTTCTGGCACCAAGGAGGGCCTTGCCCTGAGAAATGGCCACGGCCTTTGGTGAAAGAGAGCCTATTGTATCTTGCCCAGACCCTGCCTTAAATACCACATCGAGATTGTCCCTGACCTTATTTCTGGCACCAAGCAAGGTTTCACCTTGGGAATTAGACCTGGCTTGGGGTTGGGCAGTGCCTGTTATATCTGTTTGAGGCTGAGCTGAACACATTATATCTGGCCCAGTGCCTGCCTTAGATACAGCACTGGGATTGCCCTGGACCTTACTCCTGGCACCAGACAGGGTTTCACCTTGGGAATAAGACACAGCCTGAGGCTGGGCAAAACTTGTTGTATCTGCTCTGGCCTCTACCTTAGACACAGCATTGGGATTGCCTCTGACCTTATTCTTGACACTAGGCAAGGCTTCACCCTGGGAATTGACCACAGCCTGGGGCTGGACAGAACCCACTGTATCTGGCCCAATCCCTGCTTTAGACACAGCACTGAGATTGCCCCGGACCTTATTCTTAGTGCCAGCTAAGACTTCACCCTGGGAATTGGCCACAGCCAGGGGTTGGGCAGAGCCTGTTGTATCTGTTTGAGGCTGGGCAGAGCCCATTGTATCTGCCCCAACCTCTGCCTTTGACACAGCATTGGGATTGCCCCTGACATTCTTAGTACCAGGCAAAACTTCACCCTGGGAAGTGGCCACAGCCTGAGGCCAGGCAGAACCTGTTATATCTGCCCTGGCCTCTGCCTCAGATACAGCACTGGAATTGCCTCTGACCTTACTCTTAGTACCAGACAAGGCTTTACCCTGGGAATTGGTCACAGCTTGGAGCTGGGCAGAGCCTGTTTTATCTGCTCGAGGCTGGGCAGAGCCCACTGCATCTGCCCTGGCCTCTATCTTACACACAGCACTGGGATTGCCCCTGACCTTATTCTTGACACTAGGCAAGGCTTCACCCTGGGAATTGGTCACAGTTTGTGGCTGGGCAGAGCGCACTGTGTCTGGCCCAGTGTCTGCTTTAGACACAGCACTAAGATTACACCGGACCTTACTCCTGGCACCAGGCAAGGCTTCACCCTGGGAATTAGACTCAGCCTGAGGCTGGGCAAAGCCTGTTGTATCTGCTCTGGCCTCTACCTTAGACGCAGCATTGGGATTGCTGCTGACCTTATTTTTCACACCAGGCAAGGCTTCACACTGGGAATTGGCCATAGCCTGGAGCTGGGCAGAGCCCACTGTATCTGGCCCAGTCCCTGCTTTAGATAAAGCACTGGGGTTGCCCTTGACCTTTCTCTTGACACCAGGCAAGGCCTCACCCTGGGAATTAGCCACAGCCTGGAGCTGGGCAGAGCCCACTGTATCTGGCCCAGCCCCTATCTTAGACACAGCATTGGACTTGCCCCCAATCTTATTCTTGATACCAGGCAAGGCTTCACCCTGGGAACTGGCCACAGCCAGGGGCTGGGCAGAGCCTGTTGTGTCCGTTTGAGGCTGGGCAGAGCCCATTGCATCTGCCCTGGCCTCTGCCTCAGACACAGCACTGGGATTGCCCCTGACCTTGTTCTTAGTACCAGACAAGACTTCACCCTGGGAATTGGCCACAGCCTGGGGCTGGGCAGAGCCCACTGTATCTAGCCCAGCCCCTGTCTTAGACATAGCACTGGACTTGCCCCTAACCTTATTCTTGATACTAGGCAAGGTTTCACCTTGGGAATTGGCCACAGCCAGGGGCTGGGCAGAGCCTGTTGTGTCTGTTTGAGGCTGGGCAGAGCCCATTGTGTCTGCTCTGGCCTCTGTCTTAGACACAGCACTGGGATTGCCCCTGATCTTCTTAGTCCCAGGCAAGACTTCACCTTGGGAACTGGCCACGACCCGAGGCTGGGCAGAGTTCACTGTATCTGGCCCAACCCCTATCTTAGACACAGCATTGGACTTACCCCTAACCTTATTCTTCATACTAGGCAAGGCTTCACCCTGGGAACTGGCCACAGCCAGGGGCTGGGCAGAGCCTGTTGTGTCCGTGTGAGGCTGGGCAGAGCCCATTGCATCTGCCCTGGCCTCTGCCTTAGACACGGCACTGGGATTGCCCCTGACCTTGTTCTTAGTACCAGACAAGACTTCACCCTGGGAATTGGGCACAACCTGAGGCTGGGCAGAACCTACTATATCTGGCCCAGTCCCTGCTTTAGACAAAGCACTGGGATTGCCCTTACCCTTATTCTTGATACTGGGCAAGGCCTCACTCCGGGAATTGGCCACAGCCATGGGCTGGGCAGCACCTGTTATATCTGTCTGAGGCTGGGAAGAGCCCACTGAATCTGCTCTGGCGTCTGCCTTAGGCACGGCACTGGGATTGGTCCTGACTTTATTCTTGGTACCAGACAAGGCTTCATCCTGGGCATTGGCCGCAGTCTGGAGCTGGGCAGAGCCCACTGTATCCGGCCCAGCCCCTGCCTTAGACAAAGCACTGGACTTGCCTCTGACCTTATTCTTAGTACCAGGCAAGGTTTCACCTTGGGAATTAAACACAGCCTCAGGCTGAGCAGAACCTATTGTACCTGGCCCAGCCCCCGTCTTAGACACAGCATTGGAATTGCCCCTGACCCTGTTCTTAGTACCAGGCAAGGCTTCACCCTGGGAACTGGCCACAGCCTGGGGCTGGGCAGAGCCTGTTGTATCTGTTTCACCCTGGGCAGAACACATAGTATCTGGCCCAATCCCTGCCTTAGACACAACATTGGGATTGCCCCTGACCTTGCTCTTATTACCAGACAAGGCTTCACCCTGGGAATTGGCCACAGCCTGAAGCTGGGCAGAGCCCAGTGTATCTGGCCCAGTCCCTGCCTTAGACACAGCACTGGGATTGCCTCTGACCTTATTCTTAGTACCAGGCAAGCCCTCAACCTGGGAACTGGCCTCAGTCTGGGGCTGACCACAGGCCCTCAGTTCCGCCTTAGCCCCTGACCTAGAAATGGCATTAGGATCACCCCTGCCATCAACCCTGGAATCGGGAAAAGCATCAGCTTGGGTCTTGGCCCCAACCTGAGGCTGCGCGCAGGTTTTCATTTCTATCCCGACTCCTGCTTTATGCTTACTTTTGCCTTTTCCCCTAGTCTTACCTCTAGTACCAGGTAAGGTCTCAACCTGGCTCTTGGTGGAAGCCTGAGACTGTGCCTTTGTGTCTGTCCCAGCCCCTTCTTTAGATAACGTGTTGGCATTGCCTTTAGCCTTAATCCTGCCATCAGGCAAGGCATCAACCTGGACATTGGCCACAGGCTGAGGCTGCGTATAGAGCTCCATATCTGTCCCAGCCCCCATCTTAGACTTGGCATTGGGATTGTCTCTGGTCTTAACCCTGGCATCAGGCAAGGCCTCAGCCTGGGAATTGGCCCTCAAGTTTGCCCTGGCCCCTGTTTTAGACATCGCACTGGAGTTACCTCTTCCTTTAACCCTGACATCAGGCATAGCCTCAGCCTGAGCACCGGCTGCAGCTTGAAGTTGAGCAGCAACCTTCATGTCAGCTCCAGCCACTGCCTTAGATGTGACATCAGCATTTCCCCTGTCATCAACCCCGGCACCAAACATTGTCTCGGCCTGTTTCTTGGCCACAGTCTGAGGTTGTGTAGAAACTCTCATGTCTGCCCCTGCCCCTACCTTACACACGGCATTTGTAATACCCCCAGCATCAACCTTTGCCCCAAGCATAGCCTCAGCCTGGGTCTTGGCTATAATCTGAGGCTGGGCAGGAGCCCTCACGTCTGCCCTAGACTCTGCCCGAGGCATGGTTTTGTGATTCCCCTTGACCTCAACCCCAGCACCAGGCATGGTGTCGACCTGGATCTTGGTCACAGCCTGAGATGGTGCACAAGACCTCATGTCCACTCCAACTTCTGCCCTGGACACGGTATTAGGATTTCCCTTAGCATCAACTGTGTTACCAGGCCTGGCCTCAGACTGAGTCTTGGCCACACTCACAATCTCTTCCAGGGCTCTTGCCTTGGTCTCAGCCACAATTCCAGTCTTACTCATGGCACTGATCTTGGTCACTTCCCTGATCACTCCTAAGGCCTCGCTCTGTGTCACCATTATTCTTTTCATCTCTTTTTCAGCCAGTATACGAGCCTCCACTTTGGTCTGGGTCATTACTTCTTTCTTGGTCTCTGCCCTGGCAGCCAGTGCCCAAATTTTAACCTTGGTCTGGGTCACAGCCTCTTTCTTGACTACTCTCCCAGCCTCAGAGTCAGTTTGGGTCACAGCCTCTTTCATAGCCACTTCCCCAGCTTTGACCTGGGCCTCAGTCAGAGTCACCACCTCTGTCGTGCCCACTGTTCTGGCCACTGTTTTGGCCTCAGATTGTATCGCTGCCTCTGCCTCAGCCATTGTCATGGCCTGAGAGTTGGCTTTGGGTCTGGCTTTAGCAGTGGTGGTAATCTCTACTTCAGCCTCAGCCCTACCTCCTGCTTCAGCTTCTGCTCCAGACGTGGCCTGGGGTCTAGTCTCAGTCTCTGTCCCAGCCATGGCTTCACCCGTGGCCAAGGTCTGGTTCTGTACCCCAAGCACAGTCTCCATCTTGACTCTGGACCCATTTTTGGCAAGTGTCCTCACACTCTGTGCTCTTCCCTTGGTTAATCTGTAAAGGTAGTAGCAGGTACCAGCCCAAACCACCAGTCCTGCAGTCACCCAGCCCACTTCCTGAACGCGACCCATGTAATCACCCCTACTGAAGGCACGAACAAGGTACAGGGGGCTCAATCAGGATGGGGAAAGAGGGTAGTAGGTCTGGGTGTAGGCCTGTGAAGGCGCTGGTCTTCAGCCACTTAAAGGCCACTACAGCTGCCACTGGAGGTGGACCTAGAAGTGGAGGAAGGAAATGGACTAAAATTTCTCTTCTAATTTTGTGCCTCATACAGATAGATACACGAAGGACAGGAAAGTGTAGAAATGATGTGCGTGGTGGGAGAAGAGGATGATGAGCCAACTCTCTCTCCATCCCTTTTATTTTCTCCCCTCCCATTTTCCCCAGTGCCCAACAACTTTCCCCTAAGGTACATCCATACACATTTCCTTACACCAAATGGATAATGGAAAAGATGGTTGTGGGGGGGACTGACTATGAATGGGAGAGACTGAGAAGCCCTCAGACCTTGATTTTTACTGGACCTACTCTTTTCATCACTCCCAAAGGTCCCCACCCTCATACCAACCTGTAATGATCAAAGCAGTTCCCTCCTCTTTCCTTCTCTTGATTGGTGATATACCCTAAAGTAGATCTATTAACTCATGAGATCTGTGGACCTAGAGACAGACAGACAGACAGACGGAGGGACAGATGGGACTGGAGATTTTGTTCTTGATGTGACAGGCATATTATCAAACTACCTTTCTATCTCCCTCAGTTCACCCCACTCTCTGTACCAAAATAAAGGCGAGAGCGTGACAGGGATGGTGGGAAAGGTGGCTGGGAAAGGGAGAGGCTGAGGATACCCCAGAATGGACACTGACCACACAGTATGCACGTTGATCTCCACCAACCCACCCTAGAGGTCTACCCAGGCAGTTCCCATCCTCTTACCAGGCTATACTGATCAGGGGCAATTTCCTCCTTGTTTCTTTGCTTCCAGTAATCTCAAGCCCTACAGCAGACCTGCAGGCCGATCTATGGACAAGCAAACAAACAGGAGGTAATAGACACCAAGTCCTCACAGAACAGACAAGCGCCCTGATCCCGGATCCCAGTACCTGCCTCAGCAGGGGATGTAGCAACACTGTGGAAATCGGGCAGAGTGTAGGAGAGGCAGAAGTACCCTCCCCTGAGACCCTCTCAAGTCTCAGCCACCTTCTGTGCTCACCCTCTTTTTATCCCCAGGCGCTGCCCACCTTCACACCAACCTTCATGGTTCCAGGCCAGTCTCCCCCTTTCCCTGGCTTCCAACCCTACTGTAGGCCTATGGGAAGACCTAGGAAAAAACAGAGAAAAAGGGGAGGGTAACTGTTGAGGGCTTGTGACATCCCACCATCTAAAACAGGGGTTCCAGTACCTGCCTTACTAGATCTAGAGACACATTCTCTGGCTAGCAGAACCTGGGGCTTCCCTGGCACTGAAATGGGCAGCGTGTAAAAGGGAGGCAGGAGAAATAAAAGGGGAGAGACAGAGGCAAATTATTTTAAAACCACCTGTAGGATTCTAAGGTTTCTCCCAAAAGTCCATCATTTCCTTCACCAAGGTGCTCAGACAGGCGGGGGAATCTGGAAAACTGGAAAACGGAGAGAGAGATGGAGGCCCCCATCCCCTACTCTAGAATCAAACATAGCCTACTGCCATCTACTTCCCCTTAAACCCATCTCTAGGAGTCTCCAGCAGAAGAGACAAGAAGTGAGGGCAGGCTTTTTCTTCTGCAAAATCACTATCCCTCCTGGCAAAGGCTATCTCAAAAAACAAATAATGTTCTTTGATACAATGATTTGTATTTTCTTAATATTATCTGAAGTGCAAATGAAAGCATCCATGGAAAAGTTCGCTGTCTTTACTGGTCTTCAACATACAATTTAAGTTAAAAACCCTAAGCTTAGTAAGTAAACGCAGTTTAGGGAAAGTCCCCTAGGTAGCCCCACCCCACACCCCAACCGGACAGCAGCGGCCTAAGTTCCTGTCCTAGAGAATTCCCACAGAACTTCAACTATTCAGAGGCCGGCCGTGCTCACACTAACCTCCACAGATCCTGTGCAGTTTTCTTCTCTCCTTCTTCCCTTGCCTCGCCACAAAAGTGCCACACGGAACTACTGTCCATCAGACAGGAGAGAGTAAAGGCACTGAGTGCTTGGGCCAACACCCAGGGCACAGATCCCAGTACTCACCTTTCGGGATTCAGGATCCCGGTTATCAAACGTCCCTCCCCGCATTCCCAGACGCCACCCCTACCAACTCCACCGTCTAGTCACCAAGGCCCACCATTTTCTCTGTAAACGCCACGGTGGCATGTCCCTTCCCCTGAAATGAGCAGGAAGCTGGGCGGACGTGTGCGGTCGGCGATTAGGGTCAGAGAGGATGGGACATCTCAATCTCTGCATTTCCCTCTAGAGCCACTCCCCTCCACCCCCAACCATCCGCTGTCAGAGCCCAAGGTTCCCCAGCACGGACGGAAGCAGGGGGAGGGGACTCGGGAGAATCACAGCGAAGGCTCCTGGAACTTAAGCCCGCTTTGTCCCCCAGCCCCGAACCGGCTACCGGCCTCCGGGGTAGGCCGACAGCTGCCTACCTGGCCTCGGCGCGCGGCCCCGGAGCCCTCACTTGCTCCGCTTTCCTCGGGCCCGATGCCAGCCCGCCAGGCGCAGGACCGCGGGGAGCCGGTACCCAGACGGGAGTGACGACTGCACCGAAGGCTGCGTCGCTCTGCAGCTCCAGGTCACGTGAGGGCCCCGCGTCACCAACGCTCTCTCTCCCCTCCCACCCCACCCTCCGGCCTGCGGGGAGTTCTACGGGACCCTGAGCGCACCGCCTGGTCACTCAGCTATGTCCTCTCCAATCTGAGGGCCGACTAGCGAGTGGCCTCACTTCTTTGCGGTTGGGGTTTGCCCTTCTCTGGTTACTGGGGAGGGTCTGCGTATCACCCTCCCGCAGGCCTTGGCTCTGGCCTTTTCTCTTCTTAGAGGAATCCTCTCTTTCTGTCTTAGGCTCTAAGACTAACACTCCCCATCAGGTGCGTTGCTGCACCAAAATGGGCTAGGGAAGGGGTGTCCGGAAAGGAAGCAGAGAGTGCGCGTAGATGCTTAACTTTCTTTTTTTAATGTTCTCCCCCCCCCCCCTTTAACATCGCATTCATTGTTTTTGTCATTGGGAAATGCAGGCAAGCCATTTTCACCCGACATTTAAAAATTAGGTCGTAAAAATAGCAAAAGACTCATTTGTTCACATTATTTTGTGCCACATTAGTTGCTATTAACGATTTCAGTTTTCAACACATACTAGTAATTATTGACATTGTATGTACAAAATTTTCCTAAACAAAACCAGGCCGTTTTCAATGTGATCTGTAAATTAATCTGCGGAAAGACGTTCAGGTTTCTAAAATTGGCAATTTCCCACAAGCGATTTACAACCTTTTCAAGTTCTGGCTGAATTTATTATGATCTTGTGTCAGGTGTCTGAGAACTTCCTCACAGATGACCCCTGGATGATTGAATGAAGACCCAACTCCTGATGAACCCAGTGCCTGAAAACTGGTGACTTCCCAGATTAACCTGCTTTCCATTCAAGGGACTTTATTTGGATTTTACATAAGCGTGTGATCAAATCGGTCTCATCACATGCTGGACAGGACCAACTGCTCTCCCACTGATGGAAATGAGGCTTAGCGGGTGGAATTTTCATTTAATCGTGACACTGGTGAGATTATCTCTGGGATCTGTTGTTCATGTATTATATGTCTGTCACCCCAGTAGCCCCTAGTGCTCAGCATCTTCCAGTGGAGACAGTGGTGAGGGTCTGTGGGTGACTGTGAATCACTGCAACACCCCTGAAATCGGTGTCATTTTTCCCTCACGAAAAGCATAGTTTACAGGATGCCAAGCAGTCACCACCAGGAGAAAGAGGCCTTTTCACTCCCTGCCTTCTGTTACAAGTTCACTGCACCACCCATACAAGCCCCTCAGAATAATCCCAGAACTCAGGGACAAAGTATGCAGAAATTAGTTCCCAGATATTCAGCTGTCCCTGCCAGGGAGTCATACTCTAAATATAGACCTTTCAGGCAGCCTCTTTCTTTGAATGCTGAAATCTGACACTCCAGCAGGAAGCTCCCCCTGTGAGGAGCCCCTGTGTGGGGGAGGCCCCTCTAGGAAGGGAGCCAGGGCGCCCAGAGTGCCAAAGAACCTTACTAATGTAATGACTTTTCAGAACTCAATCTCCCGTGACCAACTTATATTCTCCATCGAAGGGAAAGATTCAGAAATCGATTACATAAACATTTAAAACTTTAGGAAAGTAAAATACAAAACCCATAAGCATAGGATGACAAGTGACTAATTTGTAATAATCTAAAAACTTACAAATCACTAGTAAAATGATAACTCAATAGAAAAATGTGCCAAAGACCTGAATGGATTTGTTCACAGAAGTGAAATACAAATGACTGATAGATATATGAAAAGGTGCTCAACTTCAAAGAAAGGCAAATCCAAACAACTATGTCTTATCTTGTTTCAGCTAGGAGTTTGTCAGAATACAGAAATGTGAGGTATACCTGGGTGGCTCAGCTGGTTGAGTATCTGACCCTTAGTTTAGGCTCAGGTCATGATGTCAGAATGTTTGCTTGAGATTCTCTCCCTCTCCCTCTCCTTCTGCCCCAACCCACGCGCGCGTTCTCTCTCTCTCTCTCAAATAAATAATTAAATCTTTAAATATATATATATATATATATAGGGGCGCCTGGGTGGCTCAGTTGGTTAAGCGTCTGCCTTTGGCTCAGGTCATGATCGAGCCCCGCATTGGGCTCCCTGCTCTGCGGGAAGCCTGCTTCTCCCTCTCCCACTCCCCCTGCTTGTGTCTCTCTCTGTCAAATAAAATCTTTAAAAAAATAAAAATAAAACATATAGAGAGATAATTTTGATAATATTGTTGATTGGTTTGTGGGGAAATGGGCACTCCCACACTCTGTTAGAAGCAGATACTCTGCTTCTAACAGAAAGAGAAAAGATAAACAAATTGTTGTACATACATACAATAAAATACTACTCAGCAACAAGTAATAAAATACTGATACATGCAAAAACATGAGTAAATCTCAAAAGCGGTATGCTGAATGAAAGAAGTCAGACACAAATGAGTATTATAGGATTCTATTTAAATGAAATATGAGAACAAAAACAATCCTTGGTGATAAAAATCGGCAAGTAGTTGTCTGGGGAATAGAGGAGAATCAACTGGAAAGACGTATAAGGGACCTTTTCTGGAATGATGGAAATGTTCTGTATCTTATTTTGTGTGGTGTTTGCGTGGTTATATGCAATTGTTAAAACTCTTCAAACTGAATATTTAAGATATGTGTGATATACTGCATGTAAATTATGTTTCAATACATCCCAATTTCCTCCCCAGAAAGAGTCGTTTTATTAGTTTGGGTATAACATACCAAACCTTTTTCTGTGAATTTCATATACGTATATGTACCTATGGAAATATTGTTAGGGGACATCATATTGCACATACGTTTCACAACTTGATAGTTTTCACTCATCAACATATCTTGGAGCTCTTTCCATGTCAGTAACTCTTATATTGTATTCCATAGTGTGACTATAGTAAGGTTTATCTAGCCATTCCTTTACTGATAGACATTTAGCTTTTCTTTAATTTTTAACAATAACAAACAATGTTACAAAAATTATTTTTGAAAATTTTGCCAATCAGAAAACTGAGAAGTGGTATACCAGTGTTGTAGATTACATTTTTTCTATTAAGTGGTGAGATCACACATCTATTCACATGTTTATTGGCCATTTGTAGTCCCACAAATTGCCTGCTCACATCTTTTTCGTATTTTCCTGTTGTATTATCTTTATGTTATTGTTTTTGCAGAAGAGCTGCATTTAGTGTGGATAGCACCTGTTTCTCTGTTTTGTACGTTGTAAATATTTTCTTCCAGTCTGTAGCTTGTTCTGATATTATCTTGTGTTTCCACATACGGAAATTTCTCACTTTTGATGTAATCAAATGCATCTTTCATTTATGGATTTTTTTCTTCCCCCATTGAAGCTTATGAAAAATACTCTCATATATTGTTATGATACTGTTTTAAATTTTAAAAATCAATGTAGAATTTAATAAGTGACAATAGTCTCTGATGTCATTTTTTTCCAAATAGATATCCAGCTTCCCAAAAGTATGCATTGAAGAGTTTATCCTTTCTCCCACTGATATTTTTATTGAAGTATAGTCTACACACAGTGTTACATTAGTTTCAGATATAAAACATAGTGATTCAACAAGTCTGTGTATTATGCTATGCTCAACACACGTGTAGCTACCATCTGTTGCCACACAGCACTGTTAGAATATCAGTGACTGGGGCGCCTGGGTGGCTCAGTCAGTTGAGCGGCTGCCTTCGGCTCAGGTCATGGTCCCAGGGTCCTGGGATCGAGCCCCACATCGGGCTCCCTGCTCCGCGGGAAGCCTGCTTCTCCCTCTGCCACTCCCCCTGCTTGTGTTCCCTCTCTCGCTGTGTCTCTCTCTGTCAAATGGATAAAATCTTAAAAAAAAAAAAAAAAAAAAGAATATCAGTGACTATATTCCCTATGCTGTACCTTTCATCCCTGTGACTTATTCATTCCATAACTGGAAGCCTGTATATTCTATACCCTTCACCCACTTTGCTCATCCCCCCACCCCTCCCACCTGGCAACACATCAGTTTGTTCTCTGTATTTATGGGTCTGTTTTTGCTTTGCCTTTGCTTGTTTATTCATTTGTTTTGTTAATTTAGATTCCACGTATAAATGAAATCATATGGTATTTGTCATCTTCCATTGATCTGAAGTACAACATTTACCATATATTTAATTCCCATATATATTTAGATCTATATGAAAATATGTAGGTTAAACACAAAAGTCATCTTATACATACTTTTCTGTACTATGTTTTTCTTCAAATTAATTTATAAATTTAGCACTATGCAATCAAGCTAATTCTTCTTTAAATGACACTCAAAGCAACAGCTTGAACTGGAACAAAATTTCTTATATTTTCTAAAACTATTAGACTGAACAGAACTAAGACTGAGCAGAACCAAGGCAGAGAAGCCTTGGGAGCAATCCGTTTCATTAAAGGAAAAGAACTGGGCATTTACCTACCTCTCTAGCAGGAACCATATTTCAAGTAACAAAATTGCCCTGTCAATGAGGGAAAACACTTCCTTATAGATTAGAAGAATGTTAGCTAATAAGCAGAGAAGAATGATAGAATTCAAAAATTGTCACTGTGTGATCCCCAATGAAATAATTGATTCAGGCAAGGATCATCTATAGATGTTCAAATCATCAGATGGTTGTCATGAGGGGGAAAGTATAACTTTACAAAAGAGGAATCATGTCATCACCAGCTTAACCCAGTTTGTTTGATTGGGTTTTTTTCCCTAGCTTCTTGAAGTAGATGCTTTGATGGTTTATTTCTAACCTTTCTTAATTTCACAGGTTTGTTTGTTTGCTTGTTTGTTTCAGTCAGGTTTATTGCAATAAAATTTACACACAGTAAAATTCACTTTTTTATAGGTAAATTTTTGTGAGTTTTGACAAATGTATGCATTCATGTAACTACCACCACAATCAAGATATGGAATATTTTCATCATCCCAAAAAAGTTCCTTTGTACCCTTTATAATCAGTCTTCTATCCCCAACCTCAGCCTCTGGAAACCACTTATCTGATTTCTT